ATTTGGAATCCTACTTTTACTTAAGGGAAAGCTGCCACACCCAACACACCCTAAGGGGAACTCTATCGGCAATTTCCCATCTGCTCCATCCTCTTTCTTGGATTAAGACACTGTTTGCAGTCAGCTTCATTTTGCTTCAAGCTTTGCTTGTGTTCTGAGAGTGACAAGGGGTTATCGGGAAGCAGGTAGGAAAGAGGTTAGTCTGAGAGCAGTGGATGAACCTGGAGTTAAGGCAGACCACGTGAACAACAGCTTTTGATCCTGATGAAAAACAGGCATAAGGAAGCAAAAGTGGGAAGGAAAGGGAGAGAACAGGTGAGGGGCAGCAGCCTCAAGCTTGAGGATCAAGAAAGCTGGGGTAGGAAGGTGAAAGTATGTAGCAGGTAAGACTAAAAGCAAAACAGACAAACCCAAACTTCTGAATTATTTAGGGATAATGGAATATGGCTCTTTTTACTTTTTTTTTTTTTTTTTTTTTTTGAGATGGAGTTTGGCTCTTGTTGCCTAAGCTGGAGTGCACTGGCACGATATTGGTTTACCACAATCTCCGCCTCCTGGGTTCAAGCGATTCTCCTGCCTCAGCCTCCCGAGTAGCTGGGACTACAGGCATGTGCCACCACGCCCGGCTAATTTTGTGTTTTTAGTAGAGATGGGGTTTCTCCATGTTGGTCAGGCTGGTCTCGAACTCCCAACCTTAGGTGATCTGCCTGCCTTGGCCTCCCAAAGTACTGGGATTACAAGTGTGAGCCACTGTGCCCAGTCTCTTTTTCTGTTTTTTTTTTTTTTTTTTTTTTTTTTTTTTTTTTGAGATGGAGTCTTGCTCTGTCAGCCAGGCTGGAGTGCAGTGGCACAATTTTGGCTCACTAGAGCCTCCACCTCCCAGGTTCAAGTGGTTCTCCTGTCCCAGCCTCCCGAGTAGCTGGGACTACAGGCATGTGCCATCATGCCCAGATAATTTTTTGTATTTTTAGTAAGACGGGGTTTCGCCATGTTGGGCAGGCTGGTCTTGAACTCCTGACCTCAGGTGATCTGCCCGCCTCAGTTTCCCAAACTGCTGGGATTACAGGCGTGAGCCACTGTGCCCGGCCCCGCTCTTTTTACTGTCTGCATGTCTTCAGTAACAATTTTTTTTTTTTTTGAAAGAGTCTTGCTCTGTCACTCAGGCTGGAGTGCAGTGGCACGATCTTGGCTCACTGCAATCTCCATCTCCCGGGTTCAAGCAATAGTCCAGCCTCAGCCTCCTGATTAGCTGGGATTACAGGCACCCACCAACATGCCTGGATAATTTTTGTATTTTTTTTTTTTTTTTTTTTTTTTTGCAGAGACAGGGTTTCACCTTGTTTGCCAGGGTTGTCTCTAACTCCTGACCTCAGGTGATCCGCCCGCCTCTCAGCATCCCTAAGTGCTGGGATTACAGGTGTGAGCCACCGTGCCCACCCTTAGTAACAACACATTTTACACCCTAAGAAGTAGAGGGCCGAGACCAGTCTTCCTAGTTGATGGGCAAGGACACGGTGACTGAGAGTTAAGTTGTATGAAGATACATGATTATGTGATAGATGAGGTACCAGAACCCATTTCCACATTCTGCTGCCAAAGGCACTTTCTGCCCACCCAGTTGCACTGCTTTCCTTGACTGTCATAGAAGTAATTTTTTCCCAAAGATCTTCTTGCCTTTGCAATTGGTTTCAAAGGTCAGACTCCAGCACATACCCAAGAGTAATACAGATTAGAGTTTCTTTTTTTTTGAGATGGAGTCTCGCTCTGTCGCCCAGGCTGGAGTGCAGTGATGTGGTCTTGGCTCACTGCAACTTCCGCCTTTCTGGTTCAAGCAGTTCTCCTGTCTCAGCCTCTTGAGTAGCTGGGACTACAGGTGCACCACGCCTGGCTAATTTTTGTAATTTTAGTAGAGACAGGGTTTCACCATATTGGTCAGGCTGGTCTCAAACTCCTGACCTCAGGTAATCCACCTGCCTCAGCCTTCCAACGTGCTGGGACTACAGGCGTGAGCCACCACACACGGCCTGGGTTTCTTATAAAGGTCTTTTACCTGCAGCAGTGTAGACAGGCAATTCCTATTACAGAATCCACTTTATACTACGTATGTGCTCCTGCTATTTGTGAATATGCTGAAACAGATTTCTCCATATAATTAACAATTTAATTACAAAAGTCTTGGCGCGGTGGCTGACGCCTGTAATCTCAGCAGTTTGGGAAGCCAAGGCAGGCCGATCACCCGAGGTTGGGTTCGAGACCAGCCTGACTAACATGGAGAAACCCCATCTCTACTATAAATACAAAATTAGCGGGCATGGTGGCAGGTGCCTGTAATTCCAGCTACTTGGGAGGTTGAAGCAGGAGAATCGCTTGAACCTGGGATGCAGAGGTTGCGATGAGTCAAGATCATGCCATTGCACTGCACACAGCCTGGGCAACAAGAGGGAAACTCTATCTCGGAAAAAATAAAAATAAAAAAATAAAGTCTTTTATCTTTGTTACTACAGAAAGTATCATATTTTTTTTCTCAAGTATAACTCAGGAAAATACTAAGAACCAGGGCATGGAAATGTAAATTACAGCTCTCTGTGCAATTTATCGTGGCAGTCCAGAAGAATTTTATTTTTTGAGACATGGTCTTGTTCTGTGACCCAGGCTGGAGTCCAGTGGCATGATCATGGCTCACTGCAGCCTTGAACTTGGCTCAAGCAATTCAGCCTCCTGGCCTACACGCATATGCCACCATGCCTGGCTAATTTTTATTTTTTCTGCAGATAGGTCTCACTGTGTTGCTCAGGCTTCTCTTGAACTCCTGGCCTCAAGCAGTCCTCCTGCCTCAGACTCCCAAAGCGTTGGGATTACAGGCATGAACCAGCCACATGCCCAGCCCAGAAACATTATAGCATCCCATTTTCTTCTCTCCTGCACTCCAGTCAGTTCCCAAATGTAATGTATATTTGTGTGTTGCTCCCCCTGTATACTGTGAGCCCCTTGAAAGCAGAAAGCATGCCTGAATTATCTGTATATCCCAATGTCTAGCACAGTGTCTGCCAACAGTCAACTGCTCAAGTAATATTGTTGGTTAGTGATTATCATTTTCAGCTGGATTCCCAACAGGTCCTCCTCTGTCTTGGAGAGCACACACAAGGCTGCAAGCAGGGCATGACCCTGAATCCCAGGGCCTAGCCCTTTCAGAACAGCACAGCTAGAGCCCTGCCTGAGCAATGCTGTTCCAGTTCCCCCACACTGTAAAGGTTTCTTTATTTTCCCTTACCTTTCCCCCAGTAATTAACTTGGAACTTTCTCTGCATCAGGAAGTGCTAGGGCCCCTTTCCTAGACTGTGTCCTCCCATACACACAGCTGAGGGCTTTAACCATCCTAAGAGAAGATGCCTGTTTTTCCTCCAGGTATGCCTCCAGGGAATAGAGACAGATCCTAACCTAGCAACCAGATGATCCTTCCTTCCCTTTTTTTTTTTTTTGATGGAGTTTCGCTCTTGTTGCCCAGGATGGAGTGCAATGGCGCGATCTTGGCTCACCACAACCCCTGCCTCTCCCCGGGTTCAAGTGATTCCCCTGCCTCAGCCTCCTGAATAGCTGGGATTACAGTCATGCGCCACCACGCCCGGCTAATTTTGTATTTTTAGTAGAGACGGGATTTCTCCATATTGGTCAGGCTGGTGTCAAACTACCAACCTCAGGTGATCCACCCACCTTGGCCTCCCAAAGTGCTGGCATTAGAGCCACTGCACCCGGCTGATCCTTCCTTTTAACTCTTCAATCCTGGGGCACTCCCATTGTAAATGGCCTGAAGAGGGACAAAAATGTCATTCTGGACACACATTTATCCTTAGCAAGAAGAGAAGCTTGACATCAGGGTAACACTGTACATGACATCAGTAGATAGATCCCTTCATATCATTCTGTTAGTTATTTGAGAATGACTTTCTTTGTTGCCTTTTTAAAATCTTTTTAGAGAATGACTTTCTATTTATGTACTGATTACTGCTGAATCTTCATTTCCTACTGATGTTAGGGCACAGGGGAGAATCTAATTAAACCATAAATGAGTACAAGTGTAGATTCTAGGCCCTAAAGAACAATTTGTTCCCAGAAATACATTTCATCTCTAGAAGCTTCCCTAACAATTTGGGTGGAAAAATACTTGTGAGGGCAGGAATTCAAAAGGGCCTCATGGGGCTGATTTTACACATAAGGTTATAGAGTTATTTTATTTATTACTATTATTATTTTTGAGTCAGAGTCTCACTCTGTCACCCAGGCTGGAGTGCAGTGGTGCGATCTTGGCTCACTGCAAGTTCCGCCTCCCGGGTTCACGCCATTCTCCTGCCTCAGCCTCCCGAGTAGCTGGGACTACAGGCGCCCGCCACCACACCTGGCTAATTTTTTGTATTTTTAGTAGAGACCGGGTTTCACCGTGTTAGCCAGGATGGTCTCGATCTCCTGACTTCGTGATCCACACACCTCGGCCTCCCAAAGTGCTGGGATTACAGGCGTGAGCCACCGTGCCCGGCCAGAGTTATTTTTTAATACAAAATTTGGTCAAATATGTTGAATCCAAAGAGAAACATGTTAATTCTGGACTATGTCTTATGTGAAATCATTTATCACTTAGCTTTCTCCTTGTCCTTGCAGAAACAAAATAAACATAACAACTGAAGAAAATCTCCTGCAGAGTGAGGCTCACTTACCTGACTTTTCACATGACCCCCACTTTTCCTTCCATAGCTAAGGACCTATGTGACAGGAGTAGGGATGGAGGCCAAAGGTGTACAGGACCAAACCTCCTCACTGACCAGCTTCATTAATTTGTAACTGTTTCGAAAGACCAAACAATTAAAATCCTATCCCTTCCCTAACTGGGGTAAATTGATTTTGGTAATGGTAAATCTATTAAAATAGAATTCTCATTGAACACTTACCCTTCTCCTCTGGGAAAAGCAGCCATTCCTATTTGCAAAATCAAGACAATCACAGTTGCACATTTTCCCAAATCTTTGGCTGTATTGCAATGGTTGTTTCATTTTGTAATCTCCAACTAAACATTTCCTAACCATGAATTAACAATATAGTTACTGACTGGTTTCTTTTAACAGTATTTATCCAACATAACAAAATAAACTGCAATTTGTTATACTTTTTTTTTTTTTACAAAACATTTTATAAATATTTTTACAAAATGTATACAAAGCAATTTCAAGTGAGACATACTATACAAATGAAGGTATTTAAGCAAATAAAGCCCACACCACACTGACAGCGAGTGACGCGTCCTCTTTAAGTCAAGTCAGTCTGTAAGGCCTCCCTAATCTAATAGAATCTACTAAATCCTTCAGAGCTAAAATATTTCTTTTTCGTAATTGCCAGATTAAAATTTTGCTTCATCTTTAGGAAGTACTTAAGGACACAGAAAATCAAATGCTTAATAACAAATTCACACTTTTCCACGACAACAACAGAAAAAAAAAAAAAAAAAAGAAAAATGATTTTTGTGACTGAGTACAAATAGTTCTAAAACTTAACTTTGACTAATGAACCTGAAAAACTGAATGCTGGCCATCTGAGGCTGAGCTCTCCTACCTTGCACCAGAGGGGGCTCAACATGCGAGTTATGACCCATGTGTGTAGAACCTAATCACAGGAGTAAAATACATGTCATAATCTTCATTTGTCATTATCTAGAATCCTTCCTCCGTAAAAAGTAAACTTACATACAATGACACAAACATTTACAAGTTTCATTTTGGTAAATTAGGCTCTCCATTTGCTAGACAAGTGTTAGGGCTTAAAAACCCTTTAAGATGGTATATAGAAAAGCTAGGATTGGGACAGCAGGGCAGGATAGGGAAGAAAGAGAGGTGACAAATGTACATGAAGCTTATCTTGTCTCTTGAGAATTCCACTGATTTGCAGTAATTAATATAATTCACTAGCAGCCCACATGAAGGCTTCCAGGGATAAAGTCCCGCAATGAGAAGAATTTGATTAGGAGGGATCATCTTGCTAGGAATTAGGGGAGCATGAGCCCTAAGGGAAGAAAAGCCTATGAAATCATGGAGTTCAGGGCAGGGTGTTACCCCAGGGCTACCCAAACAGAAAGTACCAACTGGCAAAACCAACTTACCTAATATGTTACAATACAGGAAAAAGGGGAAATCTGCAACTTGGACATTGGCACAAATAAGGAAAAAATGGTAACCCTAAAATGGCCCAGATTTTCCAATTTGTATTGGCTAGGGCACGTGGTTGGGGTGAAGGTACGTTGCTATTATGAAGATTGGCCATCTCACAGGGTTTTTTGTGTATAGTGGGACAAAGGGGCACCGGGGGTATAGGTCTTCTGTTGCTGTGTTTTCTAATCAGAAGCCTTCCTTTCCATCACAGGCCAATCCGGAAAAGAAATGCCCAACATGATGACAATGGGGGTCATCCCCATGCTGGCGACAGCCAGAAGCAGATTCTAGCAACACACTAAAGTGAAGACCAGAGGCTGCACCTCCAGAGCCAGGGAGATAAACAGAATAAATGAGAGAGTATGCACACAAAGAAGGAGAGTGAGTGTGCACACACTGTAACAAAAATGACCTCTGGATCCGAGCAGCTCAGATACATGCACATGTGTGTATGTGTGGGAGAAGAGTGCATACAAATACTACCATGTAGCTTTCCCAATGAGAGGAGATAAGTGATGGTTACAATGACATTGAGAATAAAGGTAACAACAGAAATGGGATAACCTGGGGCAGGTATACGAGAAAGGAAAACGGAGAACACTCCCTGACAAGAAATAAAAATAAATAAAGCAATAAGCCATGCTCACTAATATGAACACAGGCCAAACAGAAATGGTGACAGGGCATATCCTTTGGCTCTCAAATGGGAATCCCATGTCTAAGATCTTTCCTTTCAGTGGTGGGCTAGCTGGTTACCTTTGGTTTGTCTGTGTTTTGGTAATGAATTGCTGCCAGGGGTGACCACTGTTCTCAGACAAGAAGCATAAACAAGGCCAAAGTCTCCTTAAAGTTTAAACTGAAAAATTACAACATAATTTTCAAATGAAAGTGCTTTTGATGCTTGGTATTTGTTGTGGGAGAGGGTGCAAAGAGAGGTTAAGTGAAACAAAATCCAGCAACAAACAAAAACATACATCATATGTTGACTATATCCAATTATAAAATGCAAAACTTGTTTTTTCTCAATAGTTAACATATATATGCTTTTACATATATACATATTAATATTATAACCTTCATGGCTCTATCCCGGCCTCCCCTGTACACTGTGCCTCTTAACTGGTTTCCATTTTCCTTTATTTAGCCTGGTGAAATTATTTCAAATTTTGCTGCTGTAACTAAGAACAGAACATTCCCTAGATGAAATTCAACATGGATATGCCTAAAAGCATGAGGTTTTGTCCCAGAAGCATCAGAAAAGCACTTGAACCATCAACAGGGAAGCACTGCAATGCCCTGCGTATGTGCTACTGGCTTTTCCACCAGGGCTCCGGTCCCTGGCAGCACACCCAGCAATTTACTGCTCAAGGATGGCTGAGGGGGAAGAAGCATGTGGTCTTCCCCTCAACAACAACAACAAAACACACGCACACACAAACCCAAAATAATAATAATAATAAAAACCCCCAAAACTAAATTTGGAGATGCAGTGGGATATTCTTTAAAAAGTAGCTTCTATCTGTCTCGTTTGATTTTAGTAAGTCTGTTCTTTTCAAATGACTTATGATTGTCAAAATTTTACCAAGGGCCAAGTATACGTGGTCTCATTGAGTTACGGTGTTTTTAAAAAACAAAACAAATAAACAAAATGACTATAAGCACTTTCATAACACTTGAAATGAGTGGGGCCTATCAGACTGCTTTCTAACAAGGATTAATTTTACTAAAGGATCTCCCTGTAATCACGACAAGTATTGCTCTTAAACAAAGAACAGGATTGAGATTAGAAAGTATAACCTGTGATGAAAGATCAAGCAGGCTGGAGACAGGAGACCATTTCCATTTGCTTTTGCCAGGAAAGAATGTAACTGGTCCGGGGCCGGGGGGGTGGGTCTTGGGTGGGGTAAGGGGAGGACTGCTGCTATTAACACTCTAAGATACTATTTACAGCTGCTTCTAAAATGGAGTCAGTTTCTACAACACCTTCACTGTGGTCCGGGATGAACTTTTCCAGGCAGTTTTCCTGTGAAGCCATAGGAGAAAAGTTGGGGAAATCTAACTCAACAGAGCCGCTAACCGTGGGGTCACTCTGGGGCTGCCGTCCTGCCTTTTTGAGTTCCAAGATGTTCTTAAATGTGGTTTCCAAGCTCTTCGTCAGCTGGAGATCTGGCTGGGGCTCACCTGACCCTTTCATGATGTCTGTGTGTAAAACTTCATTCTTTGGAGAATTCCTCAGACTTTTGTCCTGGAAGGAATTGTTACATGTCATCTCCAAGTGCGAATCTGCTAGGATGCTTGAGAGTTTGCTCTCAGTACCGTGATCTGATCTGGATGAGGTTTTCCGGTGCCCTTCAGGGCCGGGAGAGCACTCACTGGCCTTCAGAGGCTCTCTCCGACTGGCCTTCTCTTCAGACGTGCTCTGGTACTGAACTAAGCCCACTTTGTCAAATTTCAGTGCTCTGCCAAGGCATTCTGTTTTTTTAGAAATGTTTCCTTCTGCAGAGACCACGATGTGATTAGGCACTAGATGAAACTGGTCATGATTCATGGATTCTGTCACACTGGTTTTGGCTCGGTCTCTGCCTTGGGCCTTGGCCGGCGGATGTGGAGAGCTGCTTGCTTTACTGCCATGCTGGTCACTCCGGCCAAACTGTGTCTCATGAGCAGCTTTATCAAGTTTGAAGGAACAACAGAAATCAGCCTGAAAACCCTCTGGAAATGGGAACAAAAAGATCATTAGTGAGTGATTGGGAGAGTACAGACTATACAGCAGACCTTCAGTGGGTCAGGTGCTGAGGGCAAAGCCAGCCCCACTCACAGAATCCATCTGCTTCACATACAGGAACATGCAGAAGCAGGACCCTGATCCCGAGAGAGCATCCTGTAAAGGCAGCCAAGGCTGTGGAGCCCCAGCTTCCAGATGGGGAGCTTAAACCTTTTGAAAAGGTAGATGCTTGATGACAAATTGGAAAATGTGATGGGCAAAAAGCCTCACTCAGTCCTGATCTCTAAGTATTATTTTATTTATTTTTTTTTGAGATGGAGTCTTGCTCTGTTGCCCAGACTGGAGTGCAGTGGTACGATCTTGGCTCACCGCAACCTTTGCCTCCTGGGTTCAAACAATTCTCCTGCCTCAGCCTCCCGAGTAGCTGGGATTACAGGCACTCACCACCATGCGCAGCTAATTTTGGCTTTTTTTTTTTTTGAGACGGAGTTTTGCTCTTGTTGCCCAGGCTGGAGTGCAATGGCATGATCTCGGCTCACTGCAACCTCTGCCTCCTGGGTTCAAGTGATTCTCCTGCCTCAGCCTCCCGAGTAGCTGGGATTACAGGCGTCTGCTACCACAACGGACTAATTTTTTTTTGTATTTTATTAGAGGCAGGGTTTCACCATGTTGGTCAGGATGGTCTCGAACTCCTGACCTCAGGTGATCCACCTGCCTCGGCCACCCAGAGTGCTAGGATTACAGGCGTGAGCCACCGCGCCTGGCCTAATTTTGGTATTTTTAGTAAAGATGGGATTTCACCATGTTGGTCAGGCTGGTCTTGAACTCCTGACCTCAGGTGATCTGCCCGCCTTGGTCTCCCAAAGTGATAGGGTTATAGGTGTGAGCCACTGCGTCTGGCCTCTAAGTATTATTTTAAAATTAGTTTTCAGCTAATGACCTCCTTGAAACCTCCTGAAAACAGAAATTAGGTCCTGGTATCAGCCTAGTTTCTTCCTTAGAGCAGAAGGGCCTGGAATGGGGCTTTGCAGGGAAGGGGGATAGACACCAGGAAACAGAAAACCTATCTGTCTTACATACTTTCTGGGTGAAGACAGCTACTTGTCTTTGGGTGAAAGCACTTCAATCCCTTTAGACACATAGGAGAAACCTGGCATCACTTTGCCAAGACCACAAAATGAATAGCCAACACTCATCCAAAATGATATGGAAGGACAATGGGTATGCAGGAGCTGCGTCTGTGAGTGAGCACTGAACTGCACCAGGCTTGAGGAGCCAGAGGATGGCAAAAGAAATGTCCGTGAGGATTTAGAACATTGAGGGTCCAGATGGAGGTAGGCAGACTGCTGTTATGCAAGAGTGGAAAAAGTGTTAACGCTGGAAATCATCGAAGTGAAATAGAGCTTTGATGACATCTACAAAACAACAAAGAGTATGTATAGTGTGAACATGAATTTGTTCACCAAATTCTAAAATGTGAGTTTTAGGGAATGTAGACTTGAAATCTGAAAAGATGATTCCATCCAACAAACATTGGCTGTGCAGGCCAAAGAGAAGAAGGAAGTAGCTGGGATTACAGGTGTGAGCCACTGTGCCCAGCTCTCCCCAGAATTCACGTTCTACCTTCAAGTTTCTTACTCAAAGTTCACACAGACTCCCAAAGGCCCCACGGTCCCTGAACCATGGCAGGAGCTGTCCGCTACTTTCACTGCAATGTTTCTTACCAGGGTCTACAAGCGCCAGGCGCTTGTCTCGGGATAGGGAAGCTCTTTCCTCCTGGTTGAACATCCTATCGATCATCACCATCTCAGCAGAGGGATTGATTCGCTGAAAGAGAGAGAGGCCAGTCATTTCATAGATCAGTTTTAAAAAATTGTTGTTTTTGGAAAAAATAATTTACACATTGGTACAAAATTCAAAAGATGCTACAGGGCATGTGAAAAGTGAGCCTCCCTTCTTTGCCTCTTCCTGGTGTGCACCCACTACCACCCAGTGCCTCTCCCTGGAGGCATCTGCCTGCCTAGTAGTTTTCAGTACTCTTCTGGAGATATTTCTGACACACATAAGAATATATATGTACTATATATATGTGTGTGTGTATATATATATATATAAAGAAATATACTTCTTTATTTTTGTACCCAAATAGTAGCAATTATATATACTGTTCTGTATTTTTTTTCTCCTCTATTTAATAATATATCTTAGAAATCTTTTCGAACCCTTGACCGCAGGTGATCCATCCGCCTTGGCCTCCTAAAGTGCTGGGATTACAGGCATGAGCCACCGCACCTGGCTGAGAACAATTATTACAGACTTTGGCGGCATTATTTTATTTTATTTATTTATTTTTAGACAGTTTCGCTCTGTTACCCAGCCTGGAGTGCAGTGGTGCAATCTCAGCTCTCTGCAACCTCCACCTCCCAGGTTCGAGCGATTCTCCTGTCCCAGCCTCTGCAGTAGGTGGCATTACAGGCATGCGCCACCATGCCTGGCTAATTTTTGTATTTTTACTAGAGACAGGGTTTTGCCACGTTGGCCAGGCTGGTCTCGAACTCCTGACCTCAGGTGATCCACCCACCTCAGCCTCCCAAAGTGTTGGGATTATAGGCGTGAGCCACTGTGCCTGGTCTGGTGGCATAGTTTTAAGTAAATATATATATATATATATATATATATTTATTTATTTATTTAAGTAAATACAGACACACAGATACACATTTACTCTATGTTGTATATGTGTATAATATAGCTCAACCAATCTCCCAAGGTACATTTTCAAAGTTGATATCAAATTGAAAATGAGTTATAAGAGACCATGATCGGCTAAAGCCTATTTGATTTTAGAACTGCTTCTCAAATCTCAGATTTGGTCTTTCTATCATTTCCTGAGGTATCTTATTCTTACTCCTTTCTCTATTTAACTGGCACTTCAGATGAATTGCAGTTTCTATCTGGGATGATGAAAATGTTCTGCAATTAGATAGTGGTGATGACTATGTGACCTTGTAAATGTACTAAAAACCATCAAGTTGTACACTTCATTTATTTATTTATTCATTTTTGAGATGAGTCTCACTGTCACCAAGCTGGAGTGCAGAGGTGCGATCTCGACTCACTGCAACTCTGAACACTGAAATGTTTGTCTTTTCAGTAGAGACGGGTTTCACCATGTTGGCCAGGCTGGTCTCCAACTCCTGACCTCAGGTGATCCATTATTTATTATTATTATTGTTATTATTATTATTTTATTGAGACAGAGTTTCACTCTTGTTGCCCAGACTGGAGCGCAATGGCATGATCTTGGCTCACCACAACCTCTGCCTTCCAGATTCAAGTGATTCTTCCACCTCAGCCTCCCGAGTAGCTGGGATTACAGGCATGCACCACCACGCCTGGCTCTTTTTGTATTTTTCGTAGAGATGAGGTTTCTCCATGTTGGTCATGCTGGTCTTGAACTCCCAACCTCAGGTGATCCACCCGCCTCGGCCTCCCAAAGTGCTGGGATTACAGGCATGAGCCACCGTGCCTGGCTTAAGTTGTACACTTTAAATGTAAATTTTATGGTATGTCAATGATCTCTCAATTAAAAACAAAACTAATTTTGACATTTGTCACCAGCTTATCTGTTCAGATATGCCTCCAGTCCTTTCCCCACATCTATGGGTTGGTGAAAGGCGGTAGACGGCATCAGAGTGTGGACCAGGGGTCAGATGATCCTGGCCTGTATCCGAGCTCTGCTAATGACTGCAAACTTCTTAGCCATCTGTACTCGAGCAAGTTACTTAACCAAAGCCCTGGTTTCCTTATCTGTTAAACAAGAGAATAGTACTGACCCACCAAGTAAAGTACAGAAAATGTTCACTGCTGTTTTTGTAGTAGCAGCTAAGTGTAAATTTTTCTACAGTGTGAACTATCTGTGTCTTTTACATTATGTTCTATAATCCCTTGAACTTTTTATCTCTGATTTAGTGGCTGTGACCTGTAAAAAACAAATATCAGTCGCATGACTTTTACCATGGCATCTTCTAGGAGCAGGCATCTGTATTTGTTAAGCATAGCTTGGGTCCTTTTTAGGAGCTGAGTGGCAACTGTTTCAAATTCATTGTCCACTTTAAAAAAAGAGAGACAAAGAAATAGTAAGAGACTGTAAATCACCGACTAGGTCTTCTGTTTCTTAAGACTGAAATTCATTACTCTTCCATTATTCAAACATGGCTTATCTGGGGCAATTTTCTCTTCTTAGATGAGCTGTTCCCTGGCTAAGCATCATCCTTCTACACTGCTTTGCCTCACTGTCCACTGATCATGGAAACTCATTTTATTACTAGCTTTTTTAACTTTAGGAAACCAAAAACATAATTACTTTGATATCACCTATAAAATAAAACCATATAACAGACTCGCAATAAATATCAATGAGTAGAGAATGATCTGCTAGTTTAGATGACCTAAGCCTAATGGTATGAAAAACTAAAATAGCTGAAACAATGAAGTCCAACTGTCTGGACTAGGCAAACCGGTTTAATGTAAAGACACAGCTTTACATTAAACTGTTGTGGTCATGTGGCTCTATTCTCTGTCTGTTGGTCTCCAAAGATTTGAACACCTTCTAATTCATTCTTCTTCTCAGTCTTCACACCCCCATGGGTTTTTTTTTGAAGGAATCTTGCTCTGTTGCTCAGGCTGGAGTGCAATGGCGCAATCTTGGCTCACTGCAACCTTCGCCTCCCGGGTTCAGGTGATTCTCCTGCCTCAGCCTCCCGATAGCTGGGATTACAGGCGTGTGCCACCACGCCCCGCTAATTTTTTTGTATTTTTAGTAGAGATGGGGTTTCACCATGTTGGCCAGGATGGTCTCAAACTCCTGACCTCATGATCTTCCCAACTCAGCCTCCCAAAGTGCTGGGATTACAGGCATGAGCAACCACGCCCGGCTCTTTCACACCCCATTTAACGCTGGATCTTGACCCTATTCCTTGGTGTCCTAGGGAAATCCACAGTGGACTCACAGAAACCACTGTGCCCTGAGATTAGAGGTCCCTGCCAGGAGGAGTAAGACTTGTAGCAGCTGAGGAAGGGATTAGAAAAGAGGAGGGCACTGATACAGCCAGGCCTTGGCGGTGGTGGTGGGAAAGAGCATGGCCACGCATTGGGACAGGAGGAGTTCCAGGTTTGGGGAAGGGGCCCTTATCTCTAAATTAATTAATTAATTAATTAATTATTAGACAGAGTTTTGCTCTTGTTGCCCAGGCTGGAGTGCAATGACGTGATCTTGGCTCACGGGAACCTCTGCCTCCTGGGTTCAAGTGATTCTCCTGCCTCAGCCTCCCAAGTAGCTGGAATTACATGCATGTGCCACCATGTCTGGCTAATTTTGTATTTTTAATAGAGACAGGGTTTCTCCATGTTGGTCAGGCTGGTCTAGAACTCCTGACCTCAAGTGATCCACCCACCTCAGCCTCCCAAAGTGCTGGGATTACAGGTGTGAGACACCGCGGCCAGCATTTTCTTTTTTTTGAGACAGAGTATTGCTCTGTTACCCAGGTTGGAGTGCAGTGGTGCGATCTCCGCTCACTGCAACCTCTGCCTTCTGGGTTCAAACGATTCTCCTGCCTCAGCCTCCCAAGTAGCTGGGACTGAAGGTGTGAGCCACCACGCCCAGCTAATTTTTATATTTTTAGTAGAGACAGGGTTTCACCATGTTGGCCAGGCTAGTCTTGAACTCCTGACCTCAGGTATCGGCCTGCCTCGGCCTCCCAAAGTGCTGGGATTACAGATGTGAGCCACCATGCTCAGCCCTTATCTCTCACATTTTTGTCAGTTTCTTGATATGTGGCTAATGCTCTGGACTCATTTTGGAACCTCAGGGAATGCTTTTGGGAACTCAAGTGTCTAATTCATAAAACTACCAGAAACAGTTTGGCCAGGCGCGGTGGCTCATGCCTGTAATCCCAGCACTTCCGGAGGCCGAGGTGGCCGATCACCTGAGGTCAGGAGTTCAAGACCAGCCTGGCCAACACGGTGAAACTCCATCTCTACTAAAAAATACAAAAATTAGCCAGCTGTGGTGATGCGTGCCTATAATCTCAGCCACTCGGGAGGCTGAGGCAGGGAGAATTGCTTGAACCTGGGAGGCAGAGGTTGCAGTGAGTTGATGTGCCACTGTACTCCAACCCGGATGACAGAGCGAGACTCCACCTCAAAAAAAAAAAAAAAAAAAACCTTCAGGGTATGCATACTGCCTAAAGGCAAGGACTATGCGAAACCACTGTGTAGAGTGTCTAGTGCAAAGCCATCCCATCTGGAGCCAGCAGTCCATACAAAGCTTGGATTTACTGCCCCTAATCTGTCAATAAAATACTCTGACATTAGGGTACCCTCCTAACAATTTTTTTTTTTTTTAAAGAGACAGTGTCTCCCTATGTTGCCCAGGCAGGAGTGCAATGGCTATTTACAGGTGTGATCATAGCACACTATAGTCTCAAACTCCTGGGCTCAGGTGATCTTGCTTTAGCCTTCTGAGTAGCTGGGACTACAGGTGTGTGCCCCTACACTTGGCTTCCCTTCAAAAAATATTGAGAAGTATAAGTCACGACCTTAAACAGGGACTGGGAAACTGAGTAAATAGGGAACAAGTTTGGTCTGTGATTAACAACAATCATCTGCCTACCATCTGGGGGTGACATGGCTCTTGCTCTTCTGGGGGGTGTCCATGGGAGGGTTTCCTGGAGCCTTAGGGTTCCAGCCTGCTTACCTTTTCTCAAGTCTTCTTCAGTGGGCATGGAGCCCTGGCACACATGGTAGGAGAGCAGTCTCTGCACCGCATCACTTAGTGATCGGAAGTGACTTTTGTCCGGTGTCACAGTGTGGGCTTGGTCCCTCTGCAACTGCTGGAGAATGCTTTACAAGGGAAATGGCCAATGTCAATGTAGAGTCATGTTAGGAAATTAAATCTAGTCATATTTATTTGTACGCAAATAAAATAAGATATATAGGAATAGTACGGCAGTTTTTTCTTCAGTTTTATATTTGTTATACCACAGTGCGTTTATAGCTTAGTTTAACTAGCTCCACAGAGGACTCAGACTATGACCCTGACCTCGAAAGCACAGGTTCCCACCAATCATTTATGTGTTGGCATCCCCATAAACCTTGGCAGTGCCTGACCACTGGCCAACTAAGCTCATGCTAACATTTCTGTTCTAAACATGGGAGTTTAACAAACCATGCTTTTCCTCAGAGATTCTTTGTCTCTGAAAAGACAAAGAACTATTCTCCTTAAGAAGAGCTAACAGTAGGCTGAAACTACATTCAATATATTTGAAATGTATATACTACATTTCAATATATTTGTAAGTCCTAATGAAAATAAAGTATAGGCCAGGCGCGGTGGCTCACACCTGTAATCCCAGCACTTTGGGAGGCTGAGGTAGGTGGATCACCTGAGGTCAGGAGTTCAAGACCAGCCTGGCCAACATGGTGAAACTCTGTCTCTACAAAAATACAAAAATTAGCCAGGCATGATGGCGGGTGCCTATAATCCCAGCTACTCTGGAGGCTGAGGCGGGAGAATCGCTTGAGCCCAGGAGGTGGAGGCTGTAGTAAGCCGAGATCGTGCCACTGCACTCCAGCCTGGGTGACAGAGCAAGAATCTGTCTCACAAAAAAAAAAAAAAAAAAAAAGAAAGAAAAGAAAAGAAAGTATAGAAAAAGATTTTCAAAGTGTGTGTGTGTGTGTGTGTGTGTATATATATATTTATATGTATATATATGTGTATATATATGTATTTTTTTTTTTTTTGAGACAGGGTCTTGCTGTGTCGCCCAGGCTGGAGTACAGTGGCACAATCTCCAATTCACTGCAACCTCCACCTCAGGACTCAAGCTATCCTCCCACCTCAGCCTCCCAAGTAGCTGGGACTACAGGCCCGTACCACCACGCCTAGCTAATTTTTGTATTTTTTGTAGAGGCAGGGTCTCACCATGTTGCCCGGGCTGGTCTCAAACTGCTGGGTGCAAGCGATCCTCCTGCCTTAGACTCCCAAAGTGCTGAGATTACAGGAGTGAGCCACCATGCCCTACCTCAAAGTACATTTTTAAAAAGGCTAATATGCTCATTATTATAACCTGATTTCTATAGTATATTTATTGAAGGCTAGGGACCCAAAGAAACGTTCAAAATTGATTTGTTATTTCCAAAAGTAACTCACAAAGCTCCTTTAGTTAGCTGTTTTGCAGCAGGCCTTTTTTGTCCTCCCGAATGACTATCCACCTAAAGACAAAACATACCTCTTATTATTCCTTTTATAGGAAAAAGAATACAGTTATACATAAAGTTCACTACATTTCACATATTTTCAACTACCTATCAAGAACATAGTCTAAGACTATAGAATGTGCCCTGCTGAAAAAAAAAAACAAACCAGTACACAGAGTCCATGAAGCAAAGTTATACTGTGTTAAGATTGCAGAAAGCTGCATAATCAGTTCCGGAGGACTCAGTTTGCACTTTAAAGCCTGAATCTCTAACTCCTCTCTAAATGCATCATCATCATCATCATCATCATCATTTTTTTCACAGGGTCCTGCTCTGTCATCCAGGCTAGAGTGTGGTGGTACAATCTCAGCTCACTGCAACAATCTCTGCTTCCCAGGCTCAAGTGATCCTCCCACCTCAGCCTCCCAAGTAGCTGGGAGTACAGGTATGCACCACCATGCATGTTAATTTTTTGGTATTTTTTGTAGAGACAGAGTTTTGCCATATTTTCCAGGCTTGTCTTGAACTCCTGGGCTCAAGTCATCACGCCTGCTCACAGGTGTGAGCCACTGCACCGACCCATGGTTATAGTTTTGAAATTCCACAGACATCTGAAAAGTCAGTAGATCCTATCTAATCCATCTTCTCAGTGGTAAGTACGGGGTGCACACACTTTTAAGCTCCTGTTATATATAGTCCAGGTGTGTGATCTAACGAGGCATTTTTTACATCACGTTAAGGAAACAAATATCTCAGAACCTTAGAACTGAACAGATCCTTCACTGTGTATTCCAGGCAGTCCCACACTGTAGCAAGGTTCATTCAACTACTAATTGGTAGGTCTGATGGAGAAGAAACTGTCTTAGTAAGCTGAAAACAAGAAATGTTTCCTTCCTTTTTAGACTACTAATTTGAAATCTTTTAGGTTTAAAAGCCAAAGTTGAAGTTATCAAATGTGCCCTGAAAATATGTACATCCATCATGTATCAAAAAACAAACCAAACAAAAAAAACTAGGCCAGGCGTGGTTGCTTAAGCCTGTAATTCTTAATTCTAGCACTTTGGGAGGCTGAGGTGGGAGAATCGCTTGAGCCCAGGAGTTTGAGACCAGCCTGGCCAACATGGCAAAACCTTTTCTCTACAAAAAATATAAAAATATTAGCCAGGCGTGGTGGTGCATGCCTGTAGTCCCAGCTACTCAGGAGGCGGAGGTGGGAGGATCACATGAGCCCAGGCGATCGAGGCTTCAGTGAGCTGTGATCACACCACTGCACTCCAGTCTGGGTGACAGGGCGAGACCCCACCTCAAAACAAAACAAAATAAAACAAAACAGAAAAACTAAAAAAAAACAAAAAAAAACACACAACTGGACTAGGCAGGGCACAGTGGCTCACACCTGTAATCCCAAGTACTTTGGGAGGCCAAGGCAGGTGGATGGCTCGGGCCCAGGAGTTCAAGACAGGTGTGAGCAACATGGCAAAATCCTGTCTCTACAAAAAACACAAAAAAGTAGCTGGGTATTGTCCTAGCTACCCAGAAGACTGAGGCAGGAGGATCACCTGAGCCTGGGAGGTCAAGGTTGCAGTGAGCTGTGATCGCACCAGCGCATGTCAGCCTGGGTGACAGGTGAGACCCTGTCTCAAACGAAAACCAAAAAGTTGGACTTTAAAAAGTGTCAACGTTGGGTCAAAAGACTGTAGGGATGGCCTAATTCCTATACACCTGGTTACTACTACAGAAAAAAAAAAAAAAAAAATCCCTCAGCATAACTAAGAAGAACAGATCCACTTTGATACAATGGTGAACGATATCACCCAGTAATAAATGACATTTTTTGAGTGCCTAGTATGTACTAGCTGCTGGTATATTACTAATTCATGAGGATATGATAGATTAATGAAGCACTGTAAACATGTCAGAAATAGAATAGACATTCATCTCAGAAACAGAAACATAAGGCCCAGCCCACCAGGAAGGTCTTCAACGACCACCCTGTTGTGGGAACACAGGGGACTGGGTGGACTGTGCATACAAAGCTAGCCAGCAACCACAAAGATGATACGACTACATTTCCATTCAATTATGCCAAACATTAGGAAGAGGCTATGCCAATAGTTTTCTACCTGCACAGCTGGATGGCCAGGAGATGATCCAACTACTTTTTCCTGCTGTGGTTGTGCGGTTCCTAAGGATGCAGATATAACTTTGCTTCCAGAATCCTGCCCTATTAGAATTAATACATAAGACAGTGTTCAAAAGAAACAGTAAATTGGGTCCATCATATAACCCTAGAGCCCAAGGGGTAGAGACTGTTGAGCATTCTGCAACAGGTTTCTTTATCATGGCTGCTTGCTGTGAAGAAGGAGGGCAGGGTAGTGCATTTACTTACAAGCTCTAAAGGAAGAGGTTATTAAAGCCTATTTAAGTAATAAATAAGTAAAGAGTAATAAATAGAAGCTCTAAATGCTATAGTTTCAAATTAGTTATAGTCTGAAACACAGGCCTCAAGCCAGTATCTGTCAGCAATACAGAATCCCAAAATACATTTTAAGGAAAGGGAGGCCCAAAGAGTCAATGAGGCAATTGACTGGGAATATTCAAGCTTTTTCTCTTTCTTGCCTTTTTTTTTTTTTTTTTTTTTTAAGTACTAATCGGATGTTCAAAGTCTTAGAACTGCAGATGTTCAAAACCTTAAAAAAGCAGAAGACACAGTCCATAATATTTTCAGTCTGGGTGGAGAATTCCAAACATGTATATAGAGAGCAACATGGGGATAATTACAAAGTCACAAGTACTATAAAATACCTTTTTTTTTTTTTTGAGACAAGATCTCGTTCTGTCGCCCAGGCTGGAGTGTAGTGGCATGATCACAGCTCACTGCAGCCTCGACCTCCCAGGCTCAGATGATCCTCCTGCCTCAGCCTCCTGGGTAGCTAGGACAATGCCCAGCTAGTAGAGATGGGGTTTCACCATGTTGGTCAGGCTGGTCTTGAATTCCTGACCTCATGATCTGCCTGCCTCGGCCTCCCAAAGTGCTGGGATTACGGGTGTGAGCCACTGTGCCTGGCCTGAATTCATTATTTCTAAGAAGCATTTTTTTTTCCCCACATAATTTAATGTGTCATAATTTAGAGGTAAGTGCTTTTCTTTTCTTTTTGGTAGTATGAAAAATGACAGTACATCTTACCATTGATGCTATCTTAGTGGGGTTTTTTTTTTTTTTTGAGACGGAGTCTGGCTCTGTCGCCCAGGCTGGAGTGCAGTGGTGCGATCTCAGCTCACTGCAAGCTCCACCTCCTGGGTTCACACCATTCTCCTGCCTCAGCCTTCTGAGTAGCTGGGACTACAGGCGCCTGCCACCATGCCCGGCTAATTTTGTTTTGTATTTTTTAGTAGAGACAGGGTTTCACTGTGTTAGCCAGGATGGCCTCGATCTCCTGACCTCGTGATCCGCCCGCCTTGGCCTCCCAAAGTGCTGGGGATTACAGGCGTGAGCCAGTGCACCCGGCGGCTTTTTTTTTTTTTTTTTGAGATGGAGTTTTGCTCTGTCACCCAGGCTGGAGTGCAGTGGTGCGATCTTGGCTCACTGCAACCTCTGCCTCCTGGGTTCAAGCGATTCTCCTGCTCAGCCTCCTGAGTAGCTGGGATTACGGGCGTGAGCATGCCTGGCTAAATTTTGTGTTTTTAGTAGAGATGGGGTTTCACCATGTTGGTTAGGCTGGTCTTGAACTCCTGATCTCAGGTGATCCACTCTCCTCGGCCTCCCAAAGTGCTGGGATTACAGGCATGAGACATGGTGCTTGGCCTGATGCTATCTTAGAGTTGATGCAACACAGTATATTATTTGGGCAGAAAGGATACAGAAAGAAAGGAATAATCAGAGTGGAGGCGAGATTAAGCCAGAAAGCTTTCATGCAGAATGAGGGAGAAGAGTGAGAAGAGCATCCGTGGGTGTTGGGAGGACAGGGACAAACTGAGGAAGCTCCTGACCTGGCAGTGCGGTGCTCAAGAGCCCAGGGATCTGTGCTTGCCTCAGGCCGTCTGTGGTCTTGGGAGCAGAAATGGGGGAAGTCTGATTCAGACATTTTTTCTGAGCCTGTGAAACATGACCAAGATGAAAACATTAATTTCATTTCTAAAGCTTTAACAGATTATTTTAAATATCAACCAAGCCTCTTCATGCCTCCCTGGTACTTTCAGGTTAGATTATAAACAAAACAAAAATTTAAAAATTGTATTTTCTTATCCCATCAGGGGAATTGCAAAGTACGTCCTTTAACAATCTGCAGGCACACCGAATTTTTCTGATGCCATTCAGTAGGGATGCTGACTTGACACCAGGTTATTTTCTTGCTTCTGGGACTGCTGTGTTTGTGGTGCTCAGACAAAAAGGCTGCAGCTGGGAATTTCTACCCCCGGTCATCTTATATCCCGCCTGCTAGGATTATGATCCTGACTATCAGCTCCTATGTGGGATCTGCACAGACTCCAAGCACCTGGTCAGGGACCAAGGGCCAACCCCCAATTTTTTGTCACCACTCATTGTTTTGCTGTGTAGATGATGTAAAGTACATTTCCTCACTACCATCTGGTATATCTCTAGTTTGTGTTGTGTCAACATTAGGTAGCATGCAACTGAGAAATGAAAATCAATTTAATATTAGCCTGAGCAAAATATAATTAGAAAAATAATCCAATGTTTAAATTGTTGTGTGCTTCTTTTCTATAAATGGGGAAGATGAAATGGATAATGTTTAAGAATTAAGTTCCTTTTAGCTCTTAAAAAAGAAAAACTATTATGTTATCTCTATAACATATTGCTTTTTTTTTTTTTTTTTTTTTGCCATAGAGTCTCACCATGTTTCCAAGGCTGGTCTTAAACTCCTGGGCTCAAGTGATCGTTCCACCCAAGCCTCCCAAGTAGCTGGGATTGTAGGCATGCACCACCATGCCCAGCCTCTATAATACATTTTAAGTAGAAAGATAAAGGGCTTTTATTTATTTATTTTGAGATGGAGTCTCACTCTGTCACCCAAGCTGGAGTGCAGTGGCATGATCTTGACTCACTGCAACCTCCGTCTCCCAGGTTCAGGCAATTATCCTGCCTCAGCCTCCTGAGTAGCTGGGATTACAGGTGTGTGCCACCATTTCTGGCTAATTTTTCCAATTTTAGTAGAGACGGAGTTTCACCATAGTGGCTAGGCTGGTCTCCTGACCTCAACTGATCCGTTCACCCTGGCTTCCCAAAGTGCTGGGATTATAGGTGTGAGCCACCACGCCCAGCCAATAAAGGGCTTTTAAATTACCCTCAGTTTTTTTTTTTCTTTTTGAGAGGGAATCTTTTCTGTCGCCAGGCTGTAGTGCAATGGTGCGGCTCACTGCAACCTCCGTCTCCCGAGTTCAAGTGATTCTCCCGCCTCAGCCTCCTGAGTAGTGCGCCACCACACCTGGCTATTTTTTGTATTTTTAGTAGTAGTTTTAGAAACGGGGTTTAGTAGTATTTTTAGAAATGGGGTTTCACCATGTTGGTCAGGATGGTCTCGAACTCCTGACCTTGTTATCCGCCTGCCTCAGCCTCCCAAAGTGCTGGGATTACAGACATGAGCCACCATACCCTGCCTACCCTCAGTTTTTAATCCTCTGTGCCATTACTACTTCAAGGCGCAGTAACTTTTCAGAGTTTTTTTTTTTTTTTTAATTTAATTTATTTTTTAAAAGATTTAGTCTTGCTCTGTTACCCAGGCTAGACTGCAGTGGCGCAATCTCGGCTCACTGCAACCTCCACTACGCAGGTTCAAGTGATTCTCCTGCCTCAGTCTCCCTGGTGGCTGGGATTACAGGCGCCCACCACCACGCCCGGCTAATTTTTGTACTTTTAGTAGAGATGGGGTTTCACTGTGTTGGCCAAGCTGGTCTCCAAGTCCTGACCTGAGGTGATCTGCCCACTTCAGTCTCCCAAAGTGTTGGGATTACAGGCGTGAGCCACTGCACCTGCCCTCTTCAGTTTTATATTATTTATACTATCAGTGGATTTAGAGTTTAGTTTAACCATCTGCACAGTCACAGACTTAACCATCACAGACTTAACTATGACCTTGGCCTTAGCAAAATGTTCCCACCAACCATTCACATGTAAGTGCTCACACAGACCTTGGCAATGCCTGACCAATTGACAAACTAAGCTTATTTATTTATTTATTTATTGAGACAGGGTCTCACTCTGTGCCACCCAGGCTGGAGTGCACTGGTGCGATCTTGGCTCACTGCAACCTCTGCCTCCCAGGTTCAAGCGATTCTCTTGCTTCAGCCTCCCGAGTAGCTGGGACTACAGGTCTGACCATGCCTGGCTAATTTTTGTATTTTTTGGTAGAGATAAGACTTAATTATGTTGCCCAGGCTGGTCTTGAACTCCTGACCTCAAAGTGATCCACCTGCCTTGGCCTCCCAAAGTGCTGGGAATATAGGCGTGAGCCACTGCATCCAGCCCGACAAACTAATGTTAACATTTCTGTTCTAGGCCAGGCACAGTGGCTCACGCCTGTAATCCCAGCACTTTGGTAGGCTGAGGTGGGCGGATCACACGGTCAGGAGATCGAGACCATCCTGGCTCACATGGTGAAACCCTGTCTCTACTAAAAATACAAAAAATTAGCCGGGCGCGGTGGCGGGCGCCTGTAGTCCCAGCTACTTGGGAGGCTGAGGCAGGAGAATGGCGTGAACCCAGGAGGCGGAGCTTGCAGTGAGCCGAGATGGTGCCACTGCACTCCAGCCTGGGCAACAGAGCAAGATTCTGTCTCAAAAAAAAAAAAAAAAAAAAAAAAAGGTTCTGTTCTAAACAATTATTTATTTCTCTTTTGTAATATAAAAATGAAAAGGAGGCCAGATGTGGTGACTCATGCCTGTAATCCTGACACTTTAGGAGGCTGAGGTGGGAGGATCACTTGAGCCCAGGAAATTGAGATCAGTCTGGGCAACATAGGGAGACCTCATCTCTACAAAATTAGAAACTTAGCTGGACGTGGTGGCACATGCCTGTGGTCTCAGCTACTTGCGGGGGCTGATATAGGAGGACGGCTTGAGCCCAGGAGGTTGAGGCTGAAGTGCAGTGATGACGCCACTGTACTCCAGCCCAGGTGACAGAAGGTTATTAAAGAGGTGGACATGGTCACCTTTTTCATTCTTCCACTAGCAGGGAAGGGCAAACCTAAACTATTCCAGGTAGACAGGCAATGAATTATTAGGAAAAAACCCACGAGGGGAAGGGTCAATGTGAAAATCTTCCAGTTTTACAGCATGTCCCCTACAAGGTGACCCCATGATGTCCTACTGTAGTATGGGAAGTTCCCCATATGGTGAACTTCTACAGTAGGCTTGAGCCACCAAGCCCAGCTGTGAGTACCAGCTTTATAATTAATTGTTTTGTCATTGTTGTTTGTTTGTTTTGAGACAGGGTCTCACTCTATGGCAATCCCGGGTCACTGCAACCTCTGCATCCTGGGCTCAAGGGATCCTCCCACCTCAGCCCGAGTAGCTGGGACTACAGGTGCATGCCACCAAGCCTGGCTAGTTTTGTGTTTTTTTAGAGATGGGGTTTTACCATGTTGCCCAGGCTGATCTCAAACTCCTGAGCTCAAGCGATCCACCTGCCTCGGCCTCCTAAAGTGCTGGGGTTATAGGCGTGAGCCACTGTGCCTGGCTAAGGTTCAAGCAATTTTCTGCTTCAGCCTCCCAAGTAGCTGGGATTACAGGTGCCCGCCACCATACCCGGCTAATTTTTGTATTTTTAGTAGAGACAGGGTTTCACCATGTTGGTCAGGATGGTCTCGAACTCCTGACCTCGTGATCCACCTGCATTGGCCTCCCAGAGTGCTGGGATTACAGGTGTGAGTCACCACGCCTGGCCAATGCCTGGCTAATTTTTAAATTTTTTGTAGAGACGAGGTCTTCCTATGTTGCCCAGGCTGGTCTCGAACTCCTGGGCTCAAGAGATCCTACTACCTCGGCCTCCCAAAGTGCTGGGATTACAGGCATGAGCCACCATGTGTGGCCAAAAATCAATTATTTTAATGTATCACATCAATAAGCTAAAGAAGAAAAATCCCATGATAATATCAACAGATGCAGAAAAAGTATTTGACAAAAAGCAACACCCATTCATGAAAAAAACTCTCAGCAAACTAGGAGTAGAGGGGAAATTTCTCAATTTGACAAACATCTACAAAGAACCTACAGCGAATTGATGCTTTTTAAAAAGGTTTTGAGAGGTTTATTCATTGTTTTTTCTTTTCCCCGAGACAGGGTATCTGTTGCCCTGGCTGCAGTGTAGTGATGTGATCTTAGCTCACTGCAACCTCTGCCTCCCAGGCTCAAGTGATTCTCCCACCTCAGCCTTCTGAGTAGCTGGGACTATAGGTATGTGCCACTGTACCTGGCTAATTTTTCTATTTTCAGTAGGGATGGATTTTCACCACGTTGGCCAGTCTGGTCTGAAGTGATCCGCCCACCTCAGCCCCTCTAAGTGCTGAGATTAAATGCATAAGCCACCAAGTGTAATTCATATTTAATGGCAAAAAACTTAAAGCTTTACTGCTAAGATCAATAATAAGGCAAGGATGACCCTCTTTTCACAGGTTTTCAACATGTTATTGAAAGATGTAGCTAATGCAATAAGATAGAAAAGACAATATACAACATGGTGTTACTTCCCAGAGGGCAGATAAGAGCTAAAGTCCAGGGAAGAAGCACCCACTACACACCCTCTAAAAGTGCCAAGCCTAACAGTAAAGCAGGTTGTCTACTTAGAGGGGTGTGTTTTTATACTTTGGTCCTGAGGGGCACTTTTTCCTAATTTGTACAAAGGCTCCAGATTGAGCAGCAGAGACCCTGGAAGACTACTTCCTTGTGCCACCCAGAAGACTACCCCTCCAGTCATGGTTTATTCAACCACAAGTGGCCTAATCAGACTCTCTGGAGAATCTGGAATGGGGGTAAGGGATGGATATCAAGAGGTAGCGGTTCTCAAATTCAGGTTGCGTCAAGATCACCTGGAGAATTTCTTGGTTCCATCCACAAAGATCAATTCAGAAATCTAATGTG